AAACAAGGACAGACTATGTTTCCGCATTGAATCACTTGTTTACGGCGCAAATTGTTAGACGAAGCGATTGAGTTTTTTTTACTATATCTGACTTTTTTCTGCACAAAAATATGCAAACTATATAAGGCTATGTTAAAGTAGTTATTTAAGATACGAGTGCGGAAAGTAAGGTTTTACGAATAAGGGCCAAATTGAAACACGAGCGTAACGAGGGTTTTCATTGGCACGAAATCGAAAAACCTTTTACGCTCAAGTTTCTTACACATTTTTCAATGCTTTTTGCGAGGAAATAAACAAATATATAGGTTATTAAAACTAAGTATGTATTAAAGGTAAAAATTATTTGTTAAAATTAAACGTGATATTGAACATGTTTTCGTGTCATACATTTTATTTGAAACTATTCGTTCTAGGCTCCTTGAAATACTTTTACCTTTAAAGTTTGACATATTTTCATCATTTTTTTTTTAATTTCTTTGGTGCTCGGCCCAAAAAAAAAATAAAAAAATACTTTTAAGCACGTGTGCAGTAAAGGATTTTAGGTCATTTTATTTAACACGTGTTTAAGAGTCAACTTCGGTGTTTACAGTAGATTAAAAAAATAATAGCGCTTTATGAGCAACTGCATTGAAAATATAGATACAATCTTTTAAATATTTCGTTGATGCAGTGGTTAGTAATTTCAGTCTGCGATACGGAAGTTAAATAACTTTCGAAAGGGCCGGTCGTAGGATGAGTGACCACCAAAATATTAAGTAAAGCTTCTCCATGCTACAGAAAGCACGTTCAGCTGTTGTTCCAAGTATAACGGTGTGCCGTACCACCGTTTATTTTCCTAGGTTTCAACATGCAAACTTTTTGTCTTTGAAATTCAACATCATTTCTATTTATTTCGTAATTTAAAATTTTGACTAATCAAATATACTCTTTATGGATGTCAGTTAGTAAAAAAATTCATCTGTTGTAATATGTAAATCACATATATTATAAATTTAAAAATAAAATTTTATTAATAATTGTTATTAAATATGGAACAAGTAATTCAAATAGGAATTGTATAATGTGTATTCTGTAACTTCGACGATCCAAGTTTTTATCAAGAAACTCAAAAAGGGTTTCTTTTCTTTATCCTTTATACCATAAATAAATCCATTCCCAAGCTAGTCAGCCTTTCATTGATTGGCTCAAGCATCGAACCCGTCACACCCTGAGCTTTGATTAGCATGATGCGTCATATAATAAAACTATTTCATTATATTTCTTAGATGTAATTAATATACTTTACTTTAAAATTAATGGGTTATAAAATAAAATTTCCACATGATATTTGATAGTTGTAAAAACATTTATCATTTTTTAATTGATTCGTGCAATTAAACACACAACGTTACGTTTTCACGTTTAAACTTTGGAACTAAGTTTAATGAAATTAATAGAGATTTTAATTTCATTAAAATTAGTTTCGTAGTAAATATAAACTATGAAATAACAAGGCAAAAACCTAATATAGCAATAAGCCAATTAAAGTTAGGTGTTGAGATACCTTCGGTGTTTCAAATTTTTATAACATTAAAGTTTAGAGACTAAGTTTGGGCCCTGAGCAATATCTTTATATTGACGGAAAACGTGTGACATAATTTGCAAGACCTTTCTGAAGCTCGATATTTTAGTATGTTGAGGTATCTACTTAATATTACACTTAGTATCCAGTGCGGAGGTCGTACGCTGAAACACCCAGTGGTGGCAGTGCAAATTAAACTTTTAGCGATATCTGAAAATGTTTGATCTATTAAAGCGAGATTGTACGAAATTATCAATTTTTAGACCAATTTTATTCTAATTCTAATGCCAATATTTGCCAAAACAATTCATTTAATGAAATTTAAACATATGATCGATGGGTTGCTAAAAACAGAAACATAAATTCTAATAATTGGGAATAAATAACCTTTCGAACATTACGAAACTTCAGATTCTGACATCACGCCAGCTTCTTAGATCTGATGTATCGCTAAGCTTCACAATTTTGAAATCTGAACATTTGAATCGGGTTTTTTCGAGTCGCTTATTTTAAACTATTAAAAAGCACTTCACTTTCGTACTTCACATTGCCCTTAATTACTGTTAATTAATTAACTAATGTAAGATGAAATAACAATGTTATGTTATATATTTTTAGAACTTTGACAAACTGAAACAAACAAGCTTTAGGGCCAGTTTCACCGGTTACTGATAAAGTTTCAGATAGTTATCTGATAGTTAACGCTATCTACTGGATAAAGGTTGCTGTTAACTTTTTTCTGTTTCACCATCAAACTGCTAGATAATTTATCTGGCAGATAAGTTATCGGCCACTTATTAGTTGACGGAACGGCAACGTCGCTTTTTTGCGTTTCAATACTACGACCCAAATTATCGTCAATCAAAAATCATTTTTAAAACTTAATTAATATTTTTTTTGTGTTCAATATTATTTAAATAAACTTTTTTCATATATTTTGAATTATAATTTTATGATTCTAGAATGAAAATAATACGATATTCGTATACTTAGCTACGTGTTTACAGAAACGAAACGCAACTATCATTTGTTTTGCTTTGTTGATATTTTGTACTTAAGACGCTTTTCAATTTTTAAACTTTTCTTTGTGTATTCTTTTTGGATCTGTTAATTAATAATGAAAAAACAAAAACGTGAAAGAAGTGTGAATTTTAATTAAGAAGAAACGGAGCTTCTTTATTTACTAGTTAACGGAGATTTTCTACTTAGTAGCCCGTTGTGGTTTTTATATCACTGTCTATTAACGATAGAATATAAACAACAGCCGAAATCGATTCCTAAAATCTTGAACGTCAAGTGATTCTAAATAATTAGGTCTAGGGTTAATTACTCGATTCCTACGGGGTCGCGTAATACGTTCGAAATATTCATCTAATTCGTCTTCTAAAAACACAAATAAATCCATTTTAGAATATTTGTGACACTTGTGACTGCAATCAACGCAAAGCACACAATAATGGTCTAAAACTAAAACTATTTTCGATCCCGTCACTTGAAACTTTTTTTTATCTATCAGATAACGTCTATATCAGCCACTTGAACCGGCTGATAACATATCTAATACTTTATCTGCCAGATATAGTTATCCGAGACCTGTGAAATCAAAAGTTGTAGTTTATCTGGCAGATAAGTTCCTGATAGACTATCAGGGACTTTATCAGCAACCGGTGAAACCGGCCCTTAGAATGCTCTTGCACATTTCTGTCACGATCTCGTAGTCTATTACGTTATCTAATATTTATTATAATTATTACCCGTTGTCTCTCATGTATTGCGCCACACCCCAAACATGCACACAAACGCAAACTGAGTCATGTCGACCTTGAAATAGACCAGTCTAATAGTTATAGTAGTTTTAGCCAATCAGTAGTCGATGCACACCATCCTTTGTTTATCACAGTCCGCCGTTTTGTCACGCCATTTTAATAAAATGACCTTTTGTTGTCAGTTGAAATTATTCCACAAGTTTTCAAATGCCATCTAATTGATGTTTGTGACGTAGACAGTTTAATATAATCATTTAATCGTATTGTCAATGCCAAGGATTGTATAGTGTCATTTGAAACTCATACATACAGTAGCACAAACGTCCAACAGGCCAATACTGCTATTAGGTACTACGAGTACTATACTCCTATATGTAGAATGTGCCGCCGATATAATGAACTCATTGGCAATGGATCGGATATTGATATTTTCAACTGTAATACATTACCTTTTAAGAGAAAGCTTGTTAACGCATTTGTGTATTTTTTTCTTTTTTTTTTAATATAGTGACTTCGCGGTGTTATTCATAAAGAATTTAATTTTAATTATAAAGAATGTTATAGTTATTTAGGTATATACATGCATGTTTTTGTTTACTTTTGCAGTGTGTACATGTGAAGGGTCGCAATCTTGATAACTGTAAAACATACTTTTAATTTATATTTTCACCCGGTTGTCACTTGTTTTGTACATCTTAATAAATATATAATAATTGCAACACCATAGAATCTCAACTACTCGAATTTATTACTTAAAATATCTATCTGAAGTCCTCTTAACAGAGCTCGAGGTCATTTAAACTTATTGATATTATGAAAAAGACAGTTTTGTTTGTTTTTCGTTTTGGCCCCAAAACAACTAGGCCGATTTTGAACTGGAACCTACATCATTACATCATATGCAGATAATTTATTCTATAATTTGCGCGGGCGAATTCGCGGGTAAACAACGCGTATAAGTATAGTGTAAACTTATGAAATTTCACTCGATATAACAACAAACTTCCTAAAGTGTCCTGGTAATTCAACTCTGGTTGGTTCAGATCTGGTTCTGGTAGATCTGGTTGGTTGGTTCAGACATGTTTTCTATACAATGTTACATTCTATATAGCGTAAAACTGACTTTAAATAACAATTAAAATATGTCTTATAAATAATACTTTTTAAGTTATCCAAATCAGTAAGAAATGCTTTGTTCTTATGGATATCTAGTTGCTTATAACTGACCTGTAATAAACTCATTATTTTGGCATCCTAAGTAGTGAAGACACAATGAAATTAGGTCTAGTACCAACGTATACCTTTGTGATATGCTTGATGAACCTTCGGACAGAGTTGTGCCGTCCCTAATTGTGTTATAAAAAATTGATGAGGTATATTAATGGAATATTAACTACACTATTGATTTATTAGTAGTCCAAAGCTCACTGTGAACTTTTAAAAAAATATGCACAAACGACACAACGATGATTTTCTCTTTCGAAACACATTAGCCCGTCCGATTTCCTTGGAAGCACCGTGGTGTAATTAATTTTTTATTACACCACGCTATTAGAGTTCATCGGCATCGAATTAATTACAATATTAACTTGTGAGGGTCTTGCATCAGTTAAAACGTTTGTTTCGTTATCATTAAAATTCTGTGGCACGTTAGGTAGGTAATTAAGTTTAAAATGAATGTTGATTTAACAAAAAAAGGTTTTTTTTTTATTCTTTTGATCAAAAAGTTCGAGGCTAGAACAGCGTTTCCAGTTTTAGAGGGAAAAGAATTTCTTTATGTATTTTCATGAGTAAAATACTGGATTTGAAAAAGAAAACACATTTTATTTTTGAAAATGGAACTAAAAATGGCGATCTCGGCGATTCAGTAGTAGTATTATAATTCGTCCATGGGACAGGCGAAGGAACTAAGCCATACAGCCAGCTCTCGACGATTCAGCAGAATGCATGTTTACCTTGCGACTATGGTGGGGCCACACTAACGGGAAATGCCTTTCCACGTTTCAACGCCGTTTCTTTTTTGTAGAATTGGCCTGCCATAAAGGAAAAAAAAGCGTTAACGCGAAATTTATAGAATTTTTCTGCATTACAAATTGATTTTATTTTTTTCGGAATCGCTGTTAATACAAAGAGTTTCTATTTACTTCTACCCTAAAACAAGTGAGTAATACTACTTCATATTTAGTTGGACATTAAGATTAACAATCTGACACAAACACAAAATTTCACACAACCGTAAAAATTTAAAATTACTGAATAAAATTCAAATTCAAGACTATTTGAAATTTAAGTGGATATTTATATGTTGATTAATAATATACAACTAATACATTGTAGTAAATATTTAAATATTCATGAATATTTCTAATTTTTCCATCTAACGGTTGTAAAGCATAATGTTGGCTATCCCTTTACGGATGCTATAGACAGTGAAAAGTTTTTATTACACAGTCTATGCTAATTCTATACTTGTTTATGATTGCAATTCAAATTCTAATGCTTAATACGTTTTTTTTATATTCATGCGTACGCAATAGGAATACGGTTTGTTTTTTATTGTTGTTTCATTGAATATAGTAACCCTTAATAAGAATTCAGTTTAGGAATAATAAGGACAGAAACCTTTTGTAATTACATTTACGGTTGATATCCTGTGTTGAGCTGTAAATAATTAGAATGCTTCGCAACCTAAGTTTTTATTTGAAATTAATCAGATAGCTGGACGGTAATGATAGACCATGGTTACTTGGTCTTTCTTTAGCCACTGTCAGTACAGAAGACTACTTGACAGCTTGATGCCGGCTGCTTGGGGTCCCGGGTTCAAAACTGTTCTAATAAATATTTTTTCCCTTCCAAGACTTTATTGTTGTAAAGCTTATAATTATAAAAAATTTTATATAAATAAATAATTATAAATTAAAGTTTCCTACCTTCCTAAGTCTCAACGGTGTTAACGGATGTTGTCATATTTTATAATGAGACTTAATTTATAAAATAAAAAGAAGATTAAAAAACCTCCTTTTAAATTTCAGGTCTAGAACGGGTGGCGGAGGAGTTGATGGGTCGAAGAAAATGGAAACTATGCCAGGACGCATTAATACCAAAGAGGAGCGAGCCCGAAGCTTCGAGCGACGAGTCTATGCCTGGCACCGACCCCCCTCCCGCGCTCAAAATCAAGACCATAGAGCAGATAAACGCGCCCGAAGCGGAGGAGAAGAGCTCGCGGCCCGAGACGATACTGGAGAGTCTGATCAAGAGGCCGGCGACCCAGCCGAAGCTGGAGTTACCAGAGCCCACAGACTGGAAGCCGCCGGACAAATGTTACTTTTGCGTGGACGGGGAGAGGGGTGAGCCGGTTGCGGAGGGGGGGCAGGGCGGCGCAACCGTAAGTACCGCCCTTGATAAAGATTTTTGGCAAGCGTTTCCGCGGGAAACTCGCTTACGAATTATACAATGTGAGCCCGAAGTGTTCTAATTATAAAACGTGTTATTCTAAATTCAAATTAATGTTAGTTTGAATTTAATTTGATTGGAAATACAATTAATTTCCTTAAAATGAAAACCTCATTCGGCGAATATAAAAAAGTATAAATTTCAATAAAAAAATATATGATAGACTTATTAAAAAAAAAAATATAGAAAAAGTTTATAATATGCATAAAATAAACGCAAAGACAAAACTACCAAACATTTTGTCGTTCTTAATATAATAAAAAAATTGTTGCCTTAGAGAAAAGAAAAATAATTAGCGACCTCGTTAAAAAAATAATTTTGCGCATTTTTATTGGCAATTAGTGCAAAGAATTAAGCTGCAATAATTTTGTATCGTTCGAGGCGTGGCAGATTATCGTAGCATCGATTTTTTCGGCTTCAAATATAGGTCAGTTCATTTTGTTGCCGACAAAGCTTATATCATTCGTGATGGTAAATTTTTTTTATTCCCAAATAATTTTGTTTCCCAAAATATCTGACAATTTTATTATTATATTTGAAAAACTTTGCATTCACAATGTTATACTGGAAAATATCCTTAATGAAAAATTCTTAAAGTGGATTTTTTAGCATTTTTCATTAAGAAAGTCAATTCGATTTTTCACATTTTTTAAGTTTTGAAAATAGCCTTTCTATCACGGTGTACGAGATACAGACTAGACTAGCGGGGTCTTAGTAATAGCACAGATACACATAAATTTTAATAGGGATTTTTGACTCTTTAGAACGGAACGAACGGAGTCCTAAAAAGCCTTTTTCCATAGAAATAAATTCTATTTTAAGGCAGCTTTTACTCTCCAATGATTGAAGCAACAGAACATTTATATAGACCGAGCGCCTGCTACGTTTTCCGTCTCCTCCTGGACAAAATGATGTTTCTCAAGTTTCTCAATTAATAGGCTTTAGTATATTTTTATCCATGAGTTTAAAAGAACAGGATAAGTTTTTTTGCTCTCGAGATAGTATATTAAATGTTTTAGTAATATTTATTTAATTCTATAAAATTTTCGTACAAAGAATTAGTAAGTAAAAACGTAGTCCTAAAAATTGTTTATATTTTTTTTTCATATGATAACTGAAGATGACAGTTTTAGTCAGATGTAAAAAAAATATGATATATCTATTAAGGTTTAATAATGACTTTAATGGCTAATAACTATTCTAAATTTTAATATTTGTATCAGTAATGACATTAATAATGGACCTCTGTGCAACCGGGTGTGAGAATACATGAACTACTTTAAGTGTAGTATACTTAATATTATCCCCAAACTCATTAGTTACTTTCGGCATAATATTTACTTTGGGTAAAATAAAAAAAAAAACTGATGCCAGTATTGAATTTAATATGAATTTCAATTTAATACCTCTACGCATTCGTGAGGAATGGGGTAGTAACATTAAAATTATTAAAAATATTTTAATTATATAATATAATTAACTGGCGGTTTCCGTAATTTTTCCTTTATATGTGCTATAAGACATTCCTTCATACTAAATTTCAAGATTCTGAGTTCACGACAATACCCTGTAGGTTTTAATTTCCTTGCGAGTTTCGAAAATTTGCGGCATACACAGCTGTATTTTTTGATTGCGTTGGCTTAGAAGGTTTATTTTTTCATAATTCTAAAGTGCAATACACCTGAGTATTTGATATTCTGACCTGAGATGTTAGCTTGATACCTCCACGCATTCTTATGAAAAAGGGTCTTGACAAACGCACGGACGGACGGACAACGAAGTGATCCTATAAGGGTTCCGTTTTTATTTTCGAAGTGCGGAACTCTAAAAACTGAATTAAAAAGTAATAACTGCATGCTGTTGTTGATGGATAAATGGGCTGAACTTAAATTATATTTTATAGTTTACATTTAAAGGCAAATAAATAAAAATAATATTTTTCGGGTTTGTTTTAACATTATACCATAATCATATAAAATCAAAGAAATAAATGAACAAAGAAATTATACCTACTCCTATATACTAAAATATAATAAGTAGAATAAAACACTTTTTTACGTGACTATACATAAATTTAGTTTAGTTTGTACTCAAAAGAATTGCAATCACTCTCTACCAGCCAACCGGAGAGCTGTGTAGCGGAAAGCTTAAGAAGCATGAGCTACCATTTAGGTAATATAAGAATGATCTGTAATTAGATACTCGATCGATTGATCAGTGAGTCAATAATGAGTAACGCAAATTATTGCCTATGTACATAACTTAAATGTCAAGGATGACGCGTCATGCGGTAGTCTTAGATACGACATATGAATTATTTATTTGATTTTGACAAAGTTTATAAGGGTAGACAACATATTGATATATAAAATACACATGGATTTACCTAAAAGGTAACCTACTACTAAATAAAATAACAGCTTAGAATATATTATTAGCAGCTGTATGACTGTTTATCTCTGGCAATCTTATATGTCTAATTGCTTGAATAATATTGAAAGTAAAACATAAGCAAACAAAAAACCCGCCTGTGGTAAAAATCTAACCGAAAAGGTTGGAACAAGATAAAAAAGTATGCACATCAAACACAACATGCAGTTGGAAGCATGAAATCGATAAGTCGAATCAGTCTCTCTTTGTGCATGCCTTTGTGCATATTTTTTTTTATTTCATTCCAACCTTTTCAGCTAGTTATATTTCACGCAGGCGGAGTTTTTTGTTTTTCTTTTTACTATAATATTTTTTTAATTCGACAAATCACCAGTTTAATTCAGAAAGTGACAGAAACAAAGTCCATATTTTTAAGCTTTCTCATTGTATTATTTATATTAGTACGAGTATGATGGTAATAATAATCATCATATACCTTTTTGCAATCCTTGTACTGAGCTCATTAATTTAATACCCATATTGTATAAAAAAATATATAATGGTACACAGCTGTCATATTAGATTTTTCTAATGTTACCTATCTTAGAATATTTGGGCTACAAAGACAAATCCCTCAATTATCTAAATCCATTAACCTGTTCTAAATATATGAGGTAATAAAGAACATTTCATAAATACATACAAGATACGCGCGAAACACATAACCTTTCCTTTTGCAGTCGGGTAAAAATATTTTTCCAATTCTTCTGGTCGTTTTCTTGATTTTTATTAATGATTGAGAGAAAAAGTTTGCAAAAAGAGCTAATTTAATATACTTTTTTTTTTTTTATTTAATATTGTTACATGTTTTAACATGTGAACTTCCCCGTCAAAGAACAGATGATGGTATATTTTCCTATTTACCGTATGTCTAACTGGAGAGTGTTGCGACTTGTAACATTAAATGTTTAATATCTAAGCCAATATTTTTCAGCTCGAGATTCAGCTCTCAATACAGATATCAACATTCTGACTAAGAATTAGATTTTTTTGGGGTAAAACTAAAAATTTGATAATTTCCATAAGGATTCAGTAAATTTGTTATCTAAATAAATAATGACAAATCACCGTTGACTTCATAGTACAAATGAAATAGTTCATTTTATCATACTTCAAAAAATTTATAGATTTGACTGAATGTTTAAAATTTTTTTTTCAATAGTATTCCAAAAGTTTTATGTTCATTAGGTAATATTTAACCGTCAATTTTTTTCTAGAAAGTTTGACATTATTATAATTCATAGTTCAATTCGATTGAAATTACTGAATTATTGGATGGCTGATCTAAAATTATATCGAGCTAGTAGTAACTGGCACGGATCTATTCTCATTTAATAATAAAATATTTTGCTAAAAAGTTTAACGTACTCAAAAAGGTTTGCGTTAGTGTTCAAATTTGCTATTAAACTGTAATATGCGATGTGTTGTTCTCATTACACAATGACAATGAGCCGCATCGAAACGAGCCGGTAGTTCCCACGTGCGCAATCAAATCGAAATTATTGTCTTTGTTACGAAAAAAAAATCTAGCTCAATTGCTCGCTCGGCTCGCTTTTTATTGGAATTTGAAATGGAAGCGTTCGTTGGTAATTTCAGTATAATTTGTTGTAGCAACATAGAATTTTTTTAAACGCTTTTCTGTGTTATTGAGGGCTGGTTGTTTCTCTGTTTTACTCACTAGAATCTTTTAAATTAATTAAACATTATTTTTTAAAAATTAAGTTTAATTATAATATAATTTTAGAAAAATTTATGAAGTAAGGAAATTGATAAAAAAAAGTAGAACTGAACTATCTCGTTCTCGCATGTCTGTCAAGTGATTTAGTGTAGGTAGTGACGTTAACGTCACCCATATTCCAATTAGTAACAATTGGTCATCATTTTTAGAATATGAAACCTATTTTAATAAAAAACTTTAATATAAATTGAATAATTTCTGCTTAGACATTTCTAAATCTTAATAATTATAGTAATTAACCGGCTCTATTGTCCCACGTCTATTATTATAAAACAGACGAGCTACGGTAGGTAAATTATTAAACAAGCGCCCCAGGTAATTAACGAGCCATCCGCATCAACATTTCTAATCATTGTCTATCTATAATAAGACTTTATTGTAAACCCTTTAGCCTACAATAGCAATTATGTCCAAACCAAGCTTGCGCACAACCACAGTACCGAGACCTACCCGTTCTCATACGAAATGTCATTTCAGCGCAGATTCCTTAAACACAAGCCGGAGGAAGGGATCAGTTTACGATGGCAGCTCGACAAACCATAGTTTCAATTTACCAAACAATACCTTATCCATTTGCTACGATTTCACGTCAAAGTAGAAAACTCGTATTTTGATTAATACGCGAGAAAGAGATGGGGTGCGTGCAAACGGTGCGTAAATAAACGTGAACGTTGTTTACGATGGATTAAAGTTGAATTTTGCTTTGACGTCGATGTCGCCGCTGAAATACGGAACGCGTAGGCGTAGCGTGAAAAGTAGGCAGT